GGGAAAGCGTTGTCAAATTACTCTCCCCTTCATTCCGACGATGAAAGCGGAGGAATGACGCAGCAGGAGTTCCGCTCAGTGCCCACCATGTTGGATATTTCCTCTCTGCTAACTGTTAAAGCAGGCAGCAGCAAATCCTCAAACCCAGCTGTGACCCCGAGCGCTTCAAATCCAACCCCCAACACCGATCTCCCGACCCCAAAAGCCAACAAGAAGAAAAAACCGAAGAACCCAACTGCTCCCCCTACATCTGCAACTACAACATCAGACCTGGGAACAACTGTAAATCCAGTCTCAGTGGAAACAACGGCACAAAAGGAAAATGTTCCTGAGAAAACGTGGAACAAACCGCTTTCCGGTCCTGTGACAGCGGCACTTATAAGTGGGCTGGCTAACGGCTACGCTGAGCAATCGCCACCCACTAGCAAAGATGACGCTCCCGTAACAAATCATCCCAATGCGGAGCCTGCCGATGAACAAGAGGAGGAGTTCCCTGCCCTCATGACCAAAAATCCACCACCAGGTACGGAATAACAATCCACAGTATTCATTTATCATCAATTTACATGTACTGTTGCTTCTTTCCACCCAATATATCCACCATACAGGTCTTTTTTACAGGACCTCAAACTACAAACGACTAATACATTTAAAACTGAATGTACAGCTGCTTTAATGACTGATAGCTGCCATCACAAAGAAGCGGTGGGGAAGACTTCCTGGAAATCATTTGGAAACTCTCCAACTTAGCTCTTACAATAAACAGAGTCCATAAGAATTATGGAAAGTCATTTCTGTTCTTTGGTTGTGTGGTTGATTGGAAACCAGGAATGTATCATTATTAGGCAATATGATATTTGATTGATATGAGAGTGGTCCGGCAAGCAGTGGTAAAAAGGTAGACAGCTAAGGTTTTCCATAGACTTCATATAAAAGAAGAGTCATAGAGTTTGACTCCTCATTTAGTGAACGGTTTGGCTAATCGAATGTTTTGGTTTGGTTTGGGGTTTTTTGTTTGTTTGTTTTTTTTTAGCCAGATGTTACTACAAAGCACCCACATCCCTAAATTTAAAAAAACAACAACAACAAACAAGTCACCCACCACACAGTTGTTGTAAAGAGGGAAACTGGTTAAAACTTTTTTATACCCAGCTGTGAACATGCTCTTCAAAATTTTCTTAGGTGAATATTTAAACCCCGAGCTTTGAGCTCTGAGCTTTGATTTGACTTAATTTTCGGTTTTCATCAAATTAATGATGTAATGATGTTATACTATTGTAAAACCGTATAAATGCCTCACAAATAAGCATTTTGTTTGAACACTGCGGTGTTGGTTTTATAGTTAAAACCCTTAGAACTGTTTTTCAGAGTTGGTACTGCATCATTCAAAGTTCACGATCTCTTTGTTTTTCAGGCTTTAAGACCTCTTTCCCAATGAAAGCCTCAGCTCCAGCCCCATCCTCCACCATGCCCCTGCCTCCACCTGGCCTGGGTATGTCAGCCCCTAAACCTCCCCCAGGGTTCACAGGGATCCCCCTCAACAGCAATGTGGTGGAGTCTACACCCCCAGTAGTCAACCTGTGAGCCTCTCGTTTTTCTACATTACATGATCACTGCTTGACACAAAGGTTTTTGGTTGGCCTTGTTGGTACTTAGTGGTTTTTGTCTGTTCCCAGGCCTCCCAAAGTGCCGAGCAATGGTTACCTGGTGCCAGAGGACTTCCGCGAGAGGAACCTGGAGCTGATCCAGTCCATTAGGAAGTACCTCAACGATGACGAATCAAAATTCAACCAGTTCAAAAACTACTCTGCCCAGTTCAGACAGGTACTCACTACATAAGAGCTAAATACTCTGTTGGTATGGATATTGTGTCTGGGGTTTTTTTGTTTTTTGTTCCCCGTCCCCTTTAAATGCCCCTGAAGTGGTTACAGCTCTGTGTTAAGGTTGTGCATCCCTCCAAGAGTTGTGAGAAGTATCTCAGGGACAGACTTTTGTTTTATTTTTTTAATCCTAGTTCACTTTGACTTAAATGAGTAAGAATTTAGTTGTATTTGGTCTTATACATCAATTATGACATAATAAATAATAACTGTCACTGCTTTATCATCCTCAAATGAGGATAAAGTGATTATGAAGGTCAAAGGTTAGCATACATCATCGTAATGTTGCACATAAACACAACCATTATTCAGCACCGTTACTCAGAGTCAGGAGGGTAGTGTGCGTGATTACCATAGAGTAGATCAAGAGAATTCATTATAATGATGTCATGATTTTCCACATTTATAAAGAAATGTGCTGCCAGCTAAAAATGTGAATACGTATGTGCATGTACTACCGGATTTTTATGGCTGCAACTTTATTTTCTCTCTGAATCAGATTTTTTGGCCAAACATAATCAATTTAAATACCTTTGATTGGATTACATTAAAGCCTTCACCTCTATATTTTGCTCTAGTTCGGACAGATGTGGATGTAAAGTGCCACTCCCCTGGTTGTAGGACTGTGTAGTCGATCAGTAAAACAAAACTGCAGCTGATTTCTGCATTATATTAATTATTATTAATAATATAATAATAATAATGCTTCCATGTGTTGAGTGAAAAATGTTTAGCCCAGTGGTTATTTTGTTAGGGCTTACCTTTTCCCAAGACTATGTCTTTATTTAACATGAATGACAAACGAGAAGAAGCCCACTGAAAGAACCTGCTCCTCACATTTGGCACTTCCTGTTTGTTTACTTTGCTCATATGTCCTTTCTGTCTTTCCAGGGTGTGATATCAGCAGCCCAGTACCACCGCAGCTGTAAGGACCTGCTTGGGGATGGCTTTAACCGCATCTTCAATGAGCTGCTTGTGCTCTTACCAGACACGGGCAAGCAGCAGGAGCTTCTGACTGCGCACGGAGACTGTAAGGCACTGGAGAAGCAGTCTGGGGCTGGAGGAGGAAAGAAAAATAAAAACAAGAAGAGTGCCTGGCAGACGCCTGCTACAGCGGTTAACATGGCAGCTGAGCTGGACTGCCGGGTGTGCCCCACTTGCAGACAGGTGCTGGCCCCCAAAGACTTCAACTCCCACAAGACCCTGCACATCACGGAGAGCGAGGAGTTCCCCTCTTTGCAGTCGATTAGCCGCATCATCAGCTAGCCCCCCTTTCTCAGCCTTCCTCTGGTCCGTTTGCCATTGCGAGGCAAATTCAGTTCTGTGGTTCTGACACAGCCACGCAGCAGCCGGTGTGGGAAAGCAGCCGCTCATTTCCTCTGGGAGGAGTCGGAGGCCTAGTGTAGCAAAAGAAGATGGTTCATGGTGTTTCCACTTTGATGGGGATTAATATTGATAGGTTTATGTGATTGGTTTACAATTCAAGATGCACAGGGTCGCCACATCTTATATCTTCTTTCAACTCTCATCGCTTGAGGACGTCCCCAGCTGGCACTGGCACCGGCAACGTCTAATCAGAACTCTAAATTTATTTAATGAAAGCGGAGAGGCGAGCCAGGGCTTTACTTGAAGAATGCAACGCTCCCTAATGCTGATATTATATTGATTTTCTTTTCTTTCTTTCTTTCTTTTTTACCTTGCTCTGGCAAGTTGATAAAGTCTGCATGAGTCTCCAGCTGTGCTGCTTGGTTAAATAAGAGGTTCAGTTTGAATATTTAGCTTTATATTTATAGCTGTCTAATTGCTTTTAATTGTTCATTGCTCTATGCAGGCCTGTCAACAGTGTCAGTGAATGGACTCCTCATTCAGGATGGTGTGTCAGAAAGTGAGCTGCTTCAGAAATTGGAACAAATTATGGATTCATCAGTTGAATGCTTTTTTTTTTCTTTCTCTTTCAATTAACCCCATTCTCTTTTATTCCGTTTGCACAACTCACCAGTAGATTTCATAATTTTGTTTATGGACTGGTACAAATGTGGCCATGATGTTGCACAAGGTTTCAAAAGGAAATTAAAGAACTGAACAATGAGTCTTGTTGTATATTTCTCAACAGTTTTGTTCAAATTGTCTTTTTAAACATGGGAGAAACAAGATGGTAACAATTGAGATCTCCACTTCTGACTACACATTTGGTTATGATGAACAAATTCAGCTGAAGGCACCGTTGTTTCCACCCACACTCGGTCTGCGTACTCAAGTAAAATCAAGCACTGACACAAATTGAAAGGTAATGGATTATCTACTCATCTCTTTGTCATGCTTGTACTGTTGTCAGCAGGGTGTCTGTGTATTAAAGTGGCAGACTAGTTTTCACAGAGTAGACTGCTCTATTTTTGACCTGCTGCCAAAAACACAGTTTCTGTTGACACTGCAAAGTTCTCCATGTTTGACTTGATGGCAGTTTGTTTGTTTTTTTTTAACCATTTTTCATTATATTGCTCCAGTGGTCTGCTGACACAGTGCTGTGCAGGCTCACGAATGACCTTTTAACCCTTAGTTTTATGAATCGTAGTGCTATCGTGGTTCCAACATTTAGCTTGCTGTATTTTGGGTAACTAGTGAGGAGCATAAGGAGATCTAATATATGTACTACTACACCCCACACACATGATGGCACATTATTTAAGCACAAACAAAAAACGTCTTCATGTTTGATTTGACACCAAGATCGCATAAAAAGCAAGTGCAGTGCAAGTCTAACTATACTGAAAATGGATCAGAAAAGCAATAATAAAACAGGTTTTGTACCAGTTTTGGTACTTGTATCCACCTGTTAATGATTTCCCTCTAAAGTTAAGTTATCTGGTGCACAATTAGAGCTTTCTTATTGAAGAAGTGTAGGGGTTGGCACAGCTTCCATTCTCTAAAGCTTTGGAAAGCCCAGGGAAATAGTGTGTATATGGAAAATAAAGTAAATGGTAAATGGCCTGTATTTGTATAGCACTTTACTTAGTCCCTAAGGAGCCCAAAGCACTTTACACTACATTCAGTCATTCACGCATTCACAAAGTCACAGGTCCTCACCCACGACACCCAGGGACACAAACAGCCAGTCCAGAACATGGTTTCTTTTTTATTGGAGTGATGGTCAGACTGCAGTCCAGAGACATTCAGGTAATAGACAGTGATACACATCTCTGTACACGCGTTTTTACACTGAAGAGGTCAAACACCTTCAGGAAAGGAAGAAGCAACTCAGAAGAAACGTTTAAGGGGTAACACGCCATAAAATCAATGTTCACTTGAATTCTTGGTTGATGTATCCATGCAACGCATTGTACTATATGACATGCCTTCTTTATGACCTCGGTCTAACAGATTAATGGCATGAACGACTGATTTTAGCCCCTTTAAGAGTGATCGGACAAAGTATTTCCAACAGAGAGTGCTTTCTAGTTATAAATATGCATTATTGACATAAATTTATTTATTTGTTGTTGTTTTTTAAATTTTCTGTAGTAGTGGACACATCAGACCCTGAACAGCATCACACAATAATTTCATTTACTTCAATAACATACTGAATTTTACAATCAAACCAATACCACGGTGGTGTACATGGGCCAGAGCACAAAACACAGAGAATGCTTGTATTATTTTTATTATTATCTACCACAGTGACTGAAGAAGAGACTGAAGCACTGAGAACATCAATACAACCTGACCTGACAGCAACCCAATCTACCCAGTAACACCCCAGCAGCACCTCTCACCCAACCACAGTTATCTGTTCACTACCATCCCGGCAACACTGAAGACTTAAAGGACTACATCGGTGCTTTCTAACACATAACGACAGACTATTTTCAAAACTCATGCCATAAACTGAACTTAAACTGTATCCATAGCTGCTTAAATCCGATTTCTCAGAATGGCAATGGCAGACTCCACCAGCAACAAAGCTGCTTTCAACTATGTCAAATGTCTAATCTAGAAAAATGGTGTCAAAAATAGTATAAAAAAAACCCTATATTTATGATTAAATATTCTTTCAAAGTTTTTATTTATTAGCAGGTTGTGGTTTATGGTAAGCCAGCGTCCTTAACAGATAAATCTGAACAAACAAACAACACGTAAACCAAGCTGGAGTCTGTGAGAACATATTCAAAGCATTTTCAAATAAACTAAGACCAGCCCGTGTGAAAAGTAGGGGATCTGTGCACAATTTGCAGCTGGTGGGCTAAAACACAAAGTGTAGTCCTTTAACTCTTACAAATAGACTTAACGGTACTCCTCCTGTCCCCTATTCTAGCTGTAGTCCAGCAGCCAGTGGCGTTGCACCCTGTCCCAAAATAAAACTCTGAAAGACAGGACTGTTGGATTATCCCACGGTTTTAAAGACATGCTTAACTTAACACTCGCTGACAGACGGCGAGGTGAGTAAAACTGTTTTTTTTTTAAAGATCACAGGTAGATCAGTGTTATTCATTTGAGTGCTGGAACTGAGGACACACAGAAATTCTATTATTGCAGAATAAGAGTTTTTTTTCTATAACTACATATCTACAGTAGTTAACATTTTCAGTCTGTTGGCTTCCTGTAGCTCCAGTCCATGAAATCAAGGGCCGGATCTGGATTTTTAATAATACTTTAAGTTGTTTGTTTTTTTTAAAGGTGTGTACACACTTGTGCAAAACTACAACTGAGGAATCAGAAAGTAAATTTAAAGTATGGATACATTGGCGGTTACAAACGTATAAAATGATCCTGTCAGCTTCACCGATGCTGCCAGTCTTTCTAAAACATCCTATCAGAGTCGGAGTGACACAGCATTCGATATATAACAAACAATTTTCTTTCCTTATTATGACGATTGCTTCAGTTGTCCTGCCGCAGCAGAGATAACCATTTACACTGGATCCATTAGAACAGCAAGCAAGGCTTTCGACTGGTCATGTGTGTCACTTTAACTAGAATTCTTTTAGATTTGGCCCAGTTAATTTGCTTTGCATTATGTATACCTTATCAGTGACACTGAGGTTAAATAGTGTTTTTACTGAGGCAAAATGATTAAATATTGTAGCACGCTCGTGATTCCCCCTCTCTGATAAATGCACGTTAAAGAAAAAACAAACTTCGATGCAGCACAGAACCCAACTGACTGCACACACTCACGGCTTTGGACACAAGCGTGCAGACTTACACGTCCCTCGTGCACGACGATGGTGCACGTGGACACACTCGCACGGTCGCACACACACCACACGACACCACAGATTCACTGATGAGAGCGTGCACGCGAAGCACAGCACAGACACTGCTACACACCGACATGGTTGGCATAGGTACTATCTACATCAGGGCCCCTGGTGACCAACATCCACACAACCCTGTCGTCATGGCAACTAATTATTACACCCCAACCCGCCGCTCTCTCCTTAATGTGGCGGGATTGCAGGATCAATGAATTAGCCAGCGAGCGATCTGTAACACCCCCCAACTATATTCTTTCTTTTGCCCCCCCCTCCAGAAGATCCTATTAACAACATAGTAGTAACGTAGTAGTAACGTGGTAATCAGAAGACAGCAATAAGAACACAGGGCAGTTTGGCAGCTTCTAAAACGTAAACATAAACGGACCTACATAATTTACCCAGAATATCTCCCACTCTCCTGATTTTTGTACACACAGCAGTCAGCACAGGGCGCTGTCTCAAATAACACACTGAATACATTCCCTGGCACCGTGGATTGATTGTGAGACAAAGGCCCCCTGGGCACAGGCTGTAAAAGCCCCCACCCTCCCCCCGAACTCCTGATCAGTTTGTGTGTGTGTGTGTGTGTGTGTGTGTTTTTAACAGTCATGTAACTGACTTTCCAGGATTAATAATCACTTCCAGCGCAGGAGCCCATTAGGTCCATTTAATAATCCATTCATGCCAGGCACAGAAATATACCAGACTGAATGGTGATTCAATAAGGATGAAGGTTTCCACACTGAATTTGAAGTGTAATCATGCTGACCCCCAAAATCACACCGGCTCAGTCAGGGTGACACTGTACCATTTATATTTTGCACCGTGAGTGTCGTTTGCTTTAAAATGTGCGATAGATTTCATTAAGGGAGACTAAAACATGTCTGAAAGGATGATATAGCACAATTTGAACTTTTCTAATTATATATATAATAGCTCAGCTTCCATGGAAGAGAAATTCCCTCTTTCTCTCTCTCTCTGGAGCGCTTTGATCATCTGATACAACTTTCATTTCCTGCAAAACATCACCAGGGTGGTCAGATCGTCGAGACTTATCAGCACAATCCAAAGAATTGCATGTGATTTGAGACAGCACCTGAAATTGACCTAAACTAGTTTACCTACAGTACTGCATCTACCTACTTACATAAGAATGTGAAATATTGCACTTGGTCACAAAAACATTGCCGTTGTGTTTTTTTTGTTTTTCTTTTCTTTACAGCATGTGGAAAACTACTAAATTAAGTCACTGTCTGAAACACACAGTACAGTATGGCACTTAGTTGATCTCTAAGTTTGGAAACATGCAGATTTAATGCAGATGATGGTTTCTAACTGCAGCAGGGAACATACGAGGAAAGACCAGACTCTAGCTAAAAAAGAAAAAGAAAAACAACAACCAAAAAAAAGAAAAAGAAAAACGATTCCCTGCAGTGTTTGGCATGAAAGGGGATTTGGAATAAATGAAAAGAATAAGACAAGGGTGCTCTCTGGATGCGAGTGCCTCCTGCACTATTTTTAGGGATCTAATACTGCTTTGTTGTGGTGGAGTCACTGACTTGTTGATCACTTTTTTTTCATACTTATTTTTTGTCAAAATGCGTTTGAAGTCGGCAAAAGTGGCCTCCTGCTCTGCATTTCCTCCACTTGTTTTTCTTTTTGATTTATCAGCTCTCGTACCTGTGCTGTGGCCTTGCTCCACAGAGAGGCGTACAAAAGTGATGATAAAACTGGAATGTTCGGGAAGGAAAAGGTACCAAGAGGAAGAAATGAGGAATCAGAGGCCGCTAATTCAACGCTTACTGAAAACTCAGCCCGGATCAACATAAACAACTGCACGTGTAACATCACAGAAAGCAGTTTCCTCTTATCTGCATCCCTCTCCCCTGTCGTCTTCTTCTTCTTCCACCACCATCACCAGGTCTATCCTTTCTAGTAAATGGGAACCTGGTATGTGGGTGCTGCGTTGTTTTCGGTGAATGGTGGGCTCTGGTAGGTCTCCGTGGTCTCGATGGTGGTGCCGCCGCCTCCCGGAGAGTTGGAGGGGTATGGCTGGGTGGGTGCGCCACCGTCCATGTGTTCGGTGGTGAACAGTGTCATGTCTGTGCCGAGCAGATACTTCTGGACCGCACGCACTGTTAGACCAGCCTGGAGGACCGGGAAAAGGGCCACAGAGAGGGAAAAGTGAGTCTGAGACTCAGTGTGAGGTATTCCTAATCATAAAAGCACATTATAACTACACTTTAGCAACAAAGGTTTTAAAAAGAAGAATTTTATCATTTATTTTATAGAATTTAGTAGAAATAAAGCCAGCTAATTTATAGGTAAGCTGGCTAGCTAGTTATACAAGCTAGCTAGCTTGTCTGTGCCAACAAAATGTCAGAAAGAAGAAGGGAAAATAGTGAACTGAGTTTACAGCTAACAAAACAGCCCATCATGGAAACCAATAAAACTTCAAGAAGAAGCCAAGAGAGAGTCCAAAAGAAAAGCCTTAAAACAAATAACATTTCTATAGTTAGACTTAAACTAGCTACACTGCAGTATGCGCTAATCGAGAAGTGCTTTAGCAGGTTTTGGTATACTGTGAGCCAGGCAGTTATTACAGTTTTGTAACTTCTGATTAGTTTTTATTTATATTTTATAAAGGCAATGTCAGAGGTAGCATTTAGGAAAATCAGTACAGCTATTACAATAAAAAAAGAAACTTTTTGAAAGTCCAAAGTCACAATAAATACGTACATCAATGCCTCATAAGGCCAGTTGCTGCTGGAGTTTCATAATTAACTTTAGACATGGAATCAACTCAGATAGAAAGATTTCCAGCCTCAGCTCTTGGGGTTAAAGGTGGTTTTGCTTTTAGGTGGTTGGAGGGGCTTACCCAGGTGATTATGGAGAAGAAAGAGAAGGCGATTGCTGCCCGAGCGGCATCTGCTCCTTGGTTGAGTGGCAGCTCTTCAGCTCTGGTCCGAGACCACTGATTGGCGAGGAAGCAGAAACTTACAAAGTATAGAAAGGTCCAGAAACCTGTCAGAAACCAGCAGAGCAATTAATAGTTTATTCAACGTTAGCGTTCCACATAGATGAAAGAGCACCTGTAGGTGTTGATTTCTCCAATTTTTGGACTGGAAGCACTTCTTTGTTCCCTTTTAGAAACATAAAATGCTCCTTAATACTATTTAAAACTTAAATTCAGGTGACAGGTTTCATTCCTTTGAATGTTATTTGAAATAAAGAAGCAATCTGTATGGTATCTGTAGCATTTTTGTTATTTTTGGGGAACTCCGGCCTTTTGAATCATGATTCCAGGCTTCGTTCACTCACTTCAGTTTCAGACCCTTTAGGCATTCAGTGGTTAGCCTGTGATTTGTCAAAGTGCAGCTCTGATTTGAGCAAGGAAATCAATGCTAGTCATGTATATAATTGGTTTTATCCACTCATCAACCAACTTATTTAGGTACACTTTGCTGGTACTATGTTGGACCCCATTTGTTCTTCAGAACTGCCCTAACTCTACCTGGCACAGATTCAACAGTGTGCTGTGGTCATAAAGTTATGGACATGATCAACACCAATCAGTTACCCACAGAGTTAAAAGCCAGGGAATAAAAATAGGTTTTTAATAAAGACTTAAAAACTGGCACTGATGTAGCCTGTCTAATATGGAGAGGAAGGTTATTCCAAAGCATCGGC